CCCTCATACCTCAAACAACATCATCATCCATATCACTTCACCTTTGTTACACATACCTCATAACCAAATCATTGCACCTTCATGTTCATACATATTCAACAACTTTGACCCTCATCATCGATCATAAGAACAACACATACCTCATAACCTCCATCTCTCTGCACCAACAAACATAGAACCCGACATAGAGCACACAAAGAAGAGAATTGAAATTAAGATTTCGAAAAACAATAAAGTGTAAAGAAGAAGCTTACCCAGATTCAGAGAAGGAGAAATCGTGAGAAGCGAAACAAAGAAGCAGTTTATCCAGATTCAGGTAGTTGTCATATAAATCTTTGATTTTTCTGTTTTAATTTCGTTGGGGATGGGTTAATTTTGGGCGTAGGTTTGTGATTGTTGTTGTTGTTCGTAATCGGAAAAAGAGAAAGAGAAACCATGAGAAGCGGAAGGTGAAGAGAGTGCAGCAGCAAAGAGGGATTATGGTTTTAGTTTGCTAATCAATTTTGTTTTTTCTGGAATTTGAACATACTTGTGCTAGAACAACAAAAGGTCAATCTTGATTTTCACCCTTTTCCATCAACATACAGCACGCCTCTTTTGGCGTTTTAGGGTTTCCCAACCTTCCTTTTCCTTCGCATAATCGGGTCAGCCCATTGGGCTGCTGGCCCAATCACTCAACCAATTTAGCCTTTTACATTAATGAAGTTGCCATTATAAATGAAGGGTCGATTGGTATAGTGGTTAAGGCGTTTGTGTTTGAATGAAAGGTCCCGGGTTCGAGAACCCCCGAGACATTTTTTTCTTCTTTTTTCAGATTTTAGCTTATTTTCTTTCTTTTTTTAGAATAAAAAAAATCTTTTGGGCTCCTCATTGCTGGGCCTCAGCGCCCTAACTCCTTATGCATTATACACCATGATGTGGTTTCACACCCCCAAGCCCAATAATTTTTTATTTTTATCTTTGTTTTCTTTTAAATAAGTAAACTAAATAATAATTATTAGTTTATAGACATGTTGATTCTCTTATAAATAATTTCTTTACAACATTAGCATGAAATGGATAAAAATTAATTTATGACTTTGTAAATAATTTTGTCAACTCTTTTTATATAGTTTAATAAATTTTCTTTTAAAAATATTTAGTTTATACATAATAAAACTCAAATAAGAATAGTATAATAGAATTTTGCTTTCAATTTTTCACAAACAAAATATCAAGAATTTTTTTTATACTTTGTTAATAAATTTTTGCTTTCATCAGACTATTGTAGTTTTAAATAATTTGTTAGATTCGATTTGGTTATATTGTTTGCTATTTGGACTTTTAATCGCATTCGACTCATCCCCATTTGTAAAAATTGTACCCCAATTCCCGAAGGCTCTGTAATAGCATAGAATTTCCATTTCTGCAATTTACTGTTTTCCTTATACTGTATAGTAATTAGGCGTGTATGGCAAGACATAAAAACAATTGCTAGATAACCTAATTTCAAAGACTAAATTAACTTGAATCGAACACACTTTTCACACGCGCACCTTTAGGGTAACCTCGCTTGTTGCCTCGGAAACACAGTCATGTCCCTCGAATATGGGACGCTTTAGCAAAGACCTTTCGATGAAAGATCGTAGTCCCTCAATGACCCGCGACGTTGCCTTCGATAAAACGATCTAGTCCCTTACGAAAAATTGCTAAAGCGTCTCATAAGTTGCTTTCGATGACTGTACGATTGATCTGCGCCTGTCCCTTTACATCCAACGATGGAGCTTCTTACCAAATCAATGGTAAGATAGCAACATCTAAAGGAAAAAGAAAAGAACAGTTAAGACCTTTCGAGTAGATAGATTTGCTCCTAGTTACTCTCTTGCTCACGACAAAAAAACCTTTTCACACCAATGCTTTCATCTCAAAATATTTTCAAAAGATAAAACATTTTGTATACGTTCTTATAGAGACGAGAACCATTGCAAAAACATCTTTTCGAAACCACTTCCAAAAAACACATTCCACAAACACATCTTTGAACTATTTTCCGAAACAAAACTTTGTACGCGTTCTTATAGAAACGAGAACCATTATAAAGACATTTTCAAAATACTTTCAAAGCCCACGTCACAAGCACATTGTCAAAGCAAAAGTAAGTGATCTAGCAAGTAACTAAGATCCCGTAGATAACTACGGATGAAAAGGGTGCTAATACCATCCATTTTCATAATCTACCCCCGAACCCAAGAAATAATCTCGAAAGGGCTTTCCTGTGCTCTTTTACCCTTCCTTTTGGATAAAAGAAAAGTCGGTGGCGACTCTTGCTATCCGCACAAATGCGATCAAACACAAAACGACCCGAGTCAGTTCTCCCGCCGTATCACAGAAATGATACACCAACCTGAAACTAAATTTACATTCGCAGTGCTCCCTGGCCACTTTGAAATGTCTTTTCATTTCTACCTTTCCACATTACCCAAATGCAGACAAATCAAATTACACTGAATTGATTGATTATCACCCTTCCATTAGGAATTAGTCACTAGAATTGATTCCATTAGGAATTAGTCACTAGAATTGATAATAATTTTCCATTGTTGTATTATGAAGAGAACAACTAATTTTTATCCAATTTAGAACCTGCTACCAAACTCCTGCAGCTACTTTACAGCCGAAGAATAAAAGTGGTACATTTTCCACCTTATCGCAACTGAACGGGCATAATATTTAAGATTCGTTCATAAGGTCTCTTTTGATTAAGTTGTCTAATGTTGTGATTTTATTTTGTAGTATTCTCCACACCAACGTCAATACCTTTAATGATACTAACTCATTCCACACAATTCTAATATCTCATGTTTCTTCATTCCTACTTCCATCTATTAACACTTTATAAGCTTCCTTAACCGAACATGAACTTTTCGACCGTATCCAAGAATCATCCTCATTTTCTTTTATATTTCTTCCGTGTATTTTCCTTATAATTCCCATTTCCACATGCTTTTCTTCCTTATTTAGAATTCTGCTTCATCTAAGATGTTGTTGTTGGTATGTTCCTTCTCCATTATTCACTTCTGTCACTACCGCTTCTTTCTCTTCAAAAAATTCAAAAAGATGTGGAAATTTATCCTTCAAATTACTCCCATTATCCAAAGGATCTAGCCAAAACCTAGTATCATTTCCATTCCCTATATGTCATGATAACTATTTTGAAAACCAATCCATGAGAAATCCTCAAACCCCTGACTCAATTATGTTTATGTCTTTCCACCAAGATGACCCCCCTCTTTCATCCCACTTAACTATACCTTTGACCTACCATAATTGCTAGCTAAGACCTCTACCCACAAACTATTTTTTTACCATGCTTCTCCATTTTTATTGCCTAATAAAGCTAAATTGAAGGCCTTCAAATTCTTGATACCCACATCATCCTCCTTTTCTCTACAAATCTTATCTCATTTCACCCGATTAATTTTCCTAGTCTCCATTCCCCCCACCCTTTAAAAAATTCTTAAAAGAGATTCTAGTTTAGAAATTATACTTGACGGTGCCTTGAAGAAAGATAGAAAATAGACTGATAAGGCATACAAGACTAACTTCAAAACGACAATTCTGCCACTGATAAAAAAGATGTATGTTGTTCCATTTCGACAATCTATTTCAAACATCATCCACAACTAGTTTCCATAACCCTTATGTATGATGATTACCACCTACTTGCAATCCTAAGTATTTAAATGGTAATTCGCCAACCTTACAATTTAAAACTTCCGCCACGCCTCCTCCATCCATGTACTCAAATGTTAATTTCGACTAAATGACTTTTGTGAACGTTTACCTTCTATTCGGAAATAATTTCAAACAATTGCATCAATGCTTTAATAACTCAAATGTTATTCCAATTTTTCTTACCTACAATTAGTGTGTAATCTATATATTATAAGTGCGAAACCTTGATTCCGCCTACTCAAAATTGATAACCTTTGAGTAAATTCAGCTGCACTACTTTTGACATTATATCGTTAAATTAGCCAACTGGAATAAAAAGGACGACAACATGTAATTGTATTTTTTTTTATCTCAACTAGTATGTAATTGTTGTGTAAATATGATTTTGAAAAATTCAACTATTAAATTAAAAGATTAAATATGTTTAAAGTCCTTCTAAAATTATATATTTTTATTTTCTACTCTTTTAAAAATTTTCATTAAAAAATCGTCCTTTTAAAATTATAAATTTTAATTTATTATCACTTCCGTTAAAATTATCGTTAAAATCTGTTAAAAAATTTAATTTTAGATAGATTACTTTTTAACGAAATTTTGTTAAAGATGAAATGTAAAACACTTAATTTTAGAGGGAGTTAACCTTAAATTAAATGATATGCAATTGTTGTGTTAGTGTTATTTTGAAAAATTCAACTATAGTATTAAATCAAACGATGCCTACAAATTAAGGGACCAAATTGCCTTTTAACTTTTTCTTCATTTCAAAGTTGTAATCATTTATGGGCAGGTGATTGACTGATTGTGAAAAAAAAGAAAAAAAAGTCTGGTTAGACAATTTTTTGACACATGTTCAACTCAGTTAGTTACGTGTACCTGTCACAAGCTCATGAAATTGGCCGCCGCCGGCCAAGCAGTGCTTCTATTTGCTCACCAACTCTGCCTCCTCTGTTATTCTCTTTTTGCTTGGAGAAACAATTTGTCTCCCTTTTTTGAAATTAATTATTGAAGAGAGTAGAAACTTTTCTTAACACAACATCATATACAATTTTGAATATTTTTAATGTTTTTTAATAAAAAATGTTATTGACGCTAAGCTAAGTACTTAGCGTGGACATTATAAACCAAAGAAGCAAAGTTATTCAAAATACGATCACATCATCAACATCACCAATCACAAAATAGCTCAACTACAAAGACTTTTCATTTTGAGATGATACTCCTTTAAAACTCCTTTTTCACTATCTTCATCTTTCACATAATCACTTTACTTTTAAAACCATTCAAACATGAACAAACAGCACCTTCAAAATCTCATCTTCACTTTCACAATCTCAATCTTCTTAGTCGCACTCGTCTCGGCTCGGCTTTTTCCCGACGTCCCCTCCTTGATCCCTCCCGGCATCCCACCCGCCACCGCGTGGGACGCTTTCCGCAACTTCACAGGCTGTCACCATGGCGAAAACTACAACGGCCTCTCCAATTTAAAAAACTACTTCCACCGGTTTGGTTACATTCCCCACGCGCCGCCGACGAATTTCTCCGACAATTTCGACGATGACCTTGCAGCTGCTATTAAAACTTATCAGAAGAATTTCAATATTAACATAACTGGTGAACTCGATGAGAAGACACTTCATCAAATTGTTTTGCCGCGATGTGGCGTTGCGGATATCATCAACGGTACAACCACTATGAACCCCGGCACCGAAACAGAAACGACGTCGAACGGTGATAGCAATAGCAAGCCGCGGTTTCACACTGTGTCGCACTTCACTGTGTTCCCCGGTCAACCGAGGTGGCCTGCAGGAAAGCAGGAGCTGACTTACTCGTTCTACCCCGGTAACGAGCTTACGAAAACGGTGAAAAGCGTATTCGCAACCGCGTTTGCGCGGTGGTCGGAGGTTGCAAGGCTGAAGTTCACTGAAACGGAGTTGTATTATAATGCTGATATTAAGATAGGATTCTTCAGCGGCGACCATGGAGACGGTGAACCGTTCGACGGAATCTTAGGAACACTCGCGCATGCTTTCTCTCCGACGAACGGGAGGTTTCACCTTGACGCTGCTGAGGACTGGGTGGTTTCCGGTGATGTGTCTAAATCGGCGTTACCAACGGCGGTTGACTTAGAATCGGTGGCGGTGCATGAAATTGGGCACTTGTTAGGGTTAGGTCACTCTTCGGTGGAGGAGGCGATTATGTTTCCGACGATATCTTCACGGTCGAAGAAAGTGGTGCTAACGGAAGATGATGTAAAAGGAATTCAATATATCTATGGAAGGAACCCGAGTTTCAATGGCTCAACAACCATGTCTTCGCCGGAGAAGAACTCCGGTAACGGTGGTTGCAGAGTCGCGTCTTTGTGGTCCCCGTCGATACTTTTCCCTTTGTTGACATTTGCGTTTTCGCATTTGATGTTCTAGAATTTTTTATTATTATTATATTTTTTAGTTATAAATCATACAGAATTTTAAAAAGATAAAAAAAATTAATACTTAGATGTATTTAGATATTTTTTTTGTTATATATTTGCTGTGAGTATAATAATATAAACCCTCTTTGAGATGGAAATGGATTTGCTCCCTTTTAGGAAAGAAATGCATCATACCATTTAGTAAACCTCTTTTTATTTTTTTACAGTGGCGTCATTTATTTTTAACATGAAAATATTTCACATTTCATTAGGGTTGTTTGAATTAATATATATTATTTTTTACAGTGGCGTCATTTATTTTTAACATGAAAATATATATTATTTTATTTTTACTTTTTTTATATAAAATTTAATTAAATAAATCTGATATCACTATGGTTGTTTCAAACAACGGTGATTAAATATGTTATTCAGAAACATGAACACAACTTAGGTTAAATAATGTTTAATTTGAATAAATAGAATTTTAGTGTTTCGACTGAAATGTAAGATATATTGTGTTGAATCTGTTTTGTGTTGCTGTTATTTTTGTGACTTAGAGATTGGGTGGTGTAGAAATTAAGATGATGAACAATTGCTTGTAAGAGTTGTTGTAGGTGGCGCGAGCTCAAGAGGAAGTTTTTGATGAATGTGCATTTGACACATTATTGTTGTTTTTGTTTGTAAGTTTTTGTTAAGATTGATTTAACTTTTTGTTGTTGTTTTTCATCATATATGGATTCTTCATCTAGTGACGAAACTCATACAAATTATAATCATACAATTGATTCTCGTAACAATGAATCTCAAACTACAAAGGAAAAAAGAAAACAAAACAAAGAGGTGTTATAATGATGGCAGATTAACAAAAATATGCAACTCGAGTGACAAATTATCGATCTAGTGTAATCGAGTAACTTGGACATGTTATGGTGAAAAGTCTTCGCTTTTTAGGAGTTATGTTGTGTTTCATGAACATAGCAAAGTAAATATTTTGATTGATGTTTGGACCAAAGTATCAGAAGATGTGAAAAAAAGCATATGGACAGACGTTAAGGTATTAATTTTAGTTTACATGATTCGATAGTATTTTTTAAAATTACTAATATATATTTATTGATGTAACTGCAGTCGAATTTTGAGTTTACTGATGATGATAAGTTGAAGAAAAAGTGGATCACTAATGTTGGTGAACGGTGGAGGGTCTTTAAGTCACATCTCATGCGTAACTACATTACAAATCCTAAGGCAGATCTCGAGCATCCAACTGTGAAATATAATTGTATTGACAAGAAGGTTTGGTCAAAGTTTGTGAAGTCTCATAATTCTGCAGATTTCTTGGTTATTATAGTAATCTTATTTTCTGTTAATTTTATGATTATGCTTTATAGATAAACTATGCAAATTGATATTTTTACTATGTTTATAATAGGTTAAAAGCAAATCAGTAATGCTAAACAAAGCAAAAAACAAATATCAGCATAGATTATCTCGTGTGGGTTACAAGAAAATTAAGGAAACATTTAATGAAAAAAGATTTTAAAAAATGGTAGATGAGGACTCCATGCATTGTGATAGCTTCACATCCCCACCATCATGACATGAGAAGTGGAAGATGGCTCGACAAAGACCAACATGAGAGTTCACTTCAGATGCCTCACGAGAATTCGTTGACAAAATTGTAAGTAGGATTTGTTGTGCGTATGATTTGTTATGTATAATTTAAATATCACTTTGGTAACAATATATCTTATGTTGTATAGGATTCATTGATTGGTATGGCCAGTCAAGTTACATTTATTCCACAAACACAACATGATATATTAGTGGAAGCAATCAGAACAAAGGAGCATAATGGTCGTGTATATGGTGTTGGAGAAGGCATAACCTAAGATTGTGTTTAGGTACATCGAGAAAAAGCACAGACATGCATAAGAAAGAGATGGATGGGATTATTGAGAAGAAGTTAGCAAGTGAATGCAAATTGCAAAAGAAAGAGTTGGAAGATTTAGAGGTGGTGTACACTAAGAATTTGGAATGCGCGTTAGTACATGAGCGATAAACTCGCAAGAAAGAGATGATTGAGCTCGTTGAAGTGTGTGAAAATAATTTTTAATAGGGATAAATAGAATTTCAGTGTTTGGACTGAAATGCAGGATATATTATGTTGAATCTATTTTGTGTTGTTGTTATTTTTGTGACTCCGAGATTGGATGGTATTGTCCAATGGTGTAGAAATTAAGATGATGAACAATTTCTTATAAGAGTTTTTGTAGGTGGTGTGAGCACAAGAGGAAGTTTTTGATGAATGTGCATTAGACACATTGTTGTGGTTTCTGTTTGTAAGTTAAGATTGATTTAATCTTTTGCTGTTGTTTTTGAACATAGATTGACTCTTCATCTAGCGATGAAACTAATACAAATTATAATCATACAATTGATTCTCGTAACAATGAATCTCAAACTACAAAGGAAAAAAGAAAACAAAACAAAGAGATGTTATAATGATAGCTAGTAATAAGTGGTATTTGAAAAGTTATTTATCGTTAATTGCACTTAGAGTTTCTTTTATTACCGAGTGTTTTATTTCATTTTACTGCACTTTATGCTTTGGTTGCGTGTTTTAGTGTTTTCAGGGTCAGAAGAATAAAACAGGACAATTCAGGGCAAAAAAGTGCAAAATTTTGGAGTTTCGGAGAAAATCAAAAATCCACCTACAGGAGACCTACCATGGATGGCCGTGTTGCCCAACACGGGCTGTGTCAGGGAGGATACCTTGGGAGCTTTAGAAACTTGGGAAGTCAGGGGTGCAACACGGGTGGCCGTGTTGCTTAACACATGCCGTGTTGCAACCCCTGGGAGTTGAAGTTGAGAATTAAAAGTTGAATGGCCAACACGGGCGACCGTGTTGCCTAACATGAGCCGTGTTGTCCCGCAACACTGATTTCTTATTTTTCTTCTCTATTTTGCCCATCTGTAAAGCTGTGGGGGCGTTTTGGGTACTTCCAACCGAGCTAAGTGAGTTTTTGCTATTAAGAGGAGTTTCCACGATGAAGGAGGGACTTTTTGCCAGCAGAGAATTTTGACGATTGAGGAGAGCAACGTATGAGATCCTTGGAGGACGGAGATTTTTCATGAGCCGCATCGATTGAAGATCAAATTTCACATTTATCTGTAATGTTTAACTTTTATATCATTGAAATTCTTTTGAACAATATGAGTAGCTAAACCCCCTAATGTTAGGGGTGTCCCTGGTTTGAATCTGTAATGACTTTGAATTTTTGATTTTTATCAATTCCATGGTTTTTAGTATTCAATTTAATCGTGCAATGTTTTTATGCTTTCCTAATCGGACCAATTGTTAGACGGTGTGGCAAGTGATCCAGAGGTGGGGGGGGGGGGGGGGGGGGGGGGGGTGAATAGATCACCTCCTTTTTCTTCAAGGATTTAAAATCTTTTATCAAAGTTTGTTAAAAGCAGCGGAAAAGTAAGGTCCTGAATCAACTTCCGTCTATTTTGAACCGACTACTAGAAAACCGAACATGCGATAAACTTGCTGATTTTATTAGTATGAAATAGATGAATGTTAAACACATATTAATTAACGTTTTTAATACACTTATCACTAGAACAATGTTTCCAATGAATTAAAACTTGCAAGCAATTTTGTCAAACGGTTGGCGTATGCTTGTTTGATGATTAATAATGGTGATTTGAAGAAATTATTTCAACCACTATTTTATCATTAAACAGAAAAACTCAGCAAGCCAATATAATCACAAAATTATGGAAAATGTAAAGAGATAGAGAGAAAGAAAGAACAATATGCAGGCAGTTTGGTAAGGAAGTTCCCCACTGTCGTCCTCGCATGTGGGTACGTCTCCCTCTCAATTCCAGAATTGAAATTGAGAACTCTTATAACAGTTTTGCTGAATGTTTGAATACAAGGTTACACTACAAAGACAGACAAAAATCCCTAAGATCTTCTTCTTCTTGTAAGAACCTTCACTTGATATGAGCCTTATCAAGATTCCTTACAAGATCCACAACCGATCCTCCGCTTTCACGACCTGTTTGCAAAAATCCCTCTGATTTCCAAACCCCTCGCTACGGGTGAATCTGACTTGTGCGACCGTGACTAACAAACCCTCAAGATCACGCCCGTTCTTGAAGGACAAACCCCTTGGTTTTTCCTCGAAGCCCCCTTCACAATCTTAAACCCAACTGAGATCCCTTGAATGCACAGTTGAACATTATCTCTTGATCTCTTTATCCAATTGTACAAAGATATTTAATTTTCGTTGTTGTTGTTGAATTAAGATGATTGAGAAGATGATGAAGATGAAGTATCTTTCAGGCTTCTTGCTGCTTAGAATTGATGCTCACAATTGTAATATGTGTCATACTGTTTTCTGCTGAAAAAACTTACTTATATATGTAACAGAAAACGGTTAGAGACATAAATTCGTATTATGAGTCGATGCATGTTAGTATGAGTCGACTCATGTTAGTTATGTAACACAGGATGAGTCGATACATATTGTTATGAGTCGATGCAAGCAGATGTTACAACATATTACAGAACCAACCATTTCACATGAGTCGATGCATAACACATATGTGCCGACACATACTAGGTTAAACTTTTGATTTTTGAAGACAAAACGTGTTATGAGTCGATGTATGATGTTTTGTATCGATGCATAAAAGGTTAAAAAAAATTTCCAGGGACATCAACATATCATGTGTCAATGCATGAAGTTATATATCGATGCATAAAGGTTAAAGGTTGCATTCCAGGGGAATCAACATGTTATGTGTCGATGCATGAAGTTATGTATCAATGATAAAGGTTAAATGTTGCATTCCAGGGGCATCAGCATGTTATGAGTCGATGCAAAGCATGGATGTGTCGACTCATACTGAAGCATAATTGTTTTTATAATTCATTCATTGCTTAAGTATGTGTCGATGCAAAGCTGTTTGTGTCGACTCATAACAATGTTTTAT